CACCTGGTATGTCTCTGGAATTTGGCACCAGGCTTCAAAAGTGCATAACTTCTATCCCTCATTTCCCAGAGGGGTGAAGCAGACCTGGGACCTGCTGGAGTAGTATCCTCACTGGGTAGCCGTGGCCTTGAGCAGCTTTATCCATTTACCCTGGAGGGCTATACACATGTTAACATTTTTTGTTTGTGTCATGAAAAGAAAAAGATTGGAATTACTGCAGAAATAATGTTAAGACTTTTTAAAGTTTTGGGGATGATCAGAGAGGCTTTTATTTTGACATTTCTTTGGCATATCTTAATACTGCTTAGTAATTCTCAAAGAAGCAGTGATCTGTTTATAAGGTAACAGGGGAGTGAGTGTTAGAGGTTAATTTGCCTAGATTAATGGGTGAAAATTTGAAATAGTAAAAACATATGGAATTGAGACAATGCTAAACCTGGAGATGATGTAGGAAGGCACCCTCTTTCTGCTATTTGATATCACAGTGATCAGAGCTAAAAATATTATTTTTGCATCTCAAGTTTTAGTCTGAAGTGAGAGTAATGTATATTGCTAAATTCTAGGGTCAATGTGAAGACAGAGGTGATAAAAGGTAAATGTAGTGGGGAAAAGACATGCAACTATTGAAATATAGGTTTGCTGTGGCAGAGTCTCATTTATGTTATGTTATTTTATGTTATGTTATGTTATGTTATGTTATATTAGGCTTTTCCCTCAGCCAGTTCCTATACTTTGTTCCTTGTGCTTTTGGTGCTACCGTATAGCAGGGGACTCAGCATTAAAATTCACTGTGTATATACAATAGGGGGAGATGTAGTCAGGAGCTATGGTTGAGAACTAGAAAACTGCATGTTTAGAAATTAGACATGTATCTGTTTGCCATGTAAGAGGTCATGGAGTCTGTCAGCTGTTTTAATTTGGACCTATACAATATGATTCTGATGATTATTTCAGTAAGAAATGGTGGTGGTTCTTTATATCTGGTCTGTAGATAAAATTACCAAACAAAGTAACATCACCTTTGTTTAATACACTTTTGGGGACATTTAGTGACACTTCTTTATGTATATAACTCATTTGAGAAGTAAATACTAACATTTATACTTTTAAAAATCATTTATGGACTTTAGAGAATAATATATATTTATATGCACACAAGATCCATTTTAATTAATCTTATTTCTTACTAGAAAAAACAGATATTAATGCCTTAATATTATATCTAAAGATCTAGAAATAGAAACAGTTACTAACATCCTTGGGATTTTGGAATAGAGGACTTTATTTTACTAGAATTTCTGAAAATTTTTCTGTGTGTGTTTTGGAGACTCTTTCATAACCTTTTATTATTTATTTGTTTTTTGGTACCAGGGATTGAACCCAGAAGCACTTAACTTCTGAGTCACGTCCCCAGCCCCCTTTTTAAAAAATAT